ATACGATTATGCTCACATCCATCAAAACACATGCACACGCAGATCTGATAATGAGGTAAACTCTGGTAGATTCTTAACTGTGCCTGTTTGTGCAAGTATTTGGAAGACTAGAGAAATGATATCCACGCGAAGGGAGATTAGAAATGCGGCCATTGTTCTCGTTTTGTGTTGGCTACAGACATGACAATCCTCGTCGTATAATGTGCTGAAAGAATGTAAAATTGTTTGTGTAGAAAATGTTGATGATTAAAAAGTGTAAAATTTAATAACTATTCTTTGGTAACTATCCCCTAACTAAAAACTAGAATAATATTTGCCTCATTCCCACTTTACACAAAAACCAACTGTAGTACTGAACAAGAACGCATACGGTTTAATGAACCGAAATATTTTTATTCGATTGACTGATTTTTTTGCGTTTTGTACTGTAATAGTTGCACAAAACGCGAATTGTCGAGACCTTGTTTATGTGTATGTTTTTGTGTTTATATATATATATATGTATATGCTTGCGTGTGTTCCGAGTATATTTTTCTAATATAAATTATACTTCATATATATCATCTCTAACGCCTTCATTTATAGTTTTGCGTGAACTAACTAAACAATTTTTTTTTTCGAACATTAAATATCAAATTCCAAGCCCGTTACCGGCAATCAGTTTCGGTATCCGATGTTTGTGATTTCCCTGGAGCGCTTTCGCACGCTGGACACAACTGCGAAAGCCTCTTCGATCCTGGACTGCATACTTTCAGCTAGAACCCACTGTCTCTCCGATGCGTATGCCCCTGTCCCCTCGGAGACCACCCGGGTGGATCGATATATACATACACAAATTAAAAAACTGCTTCTTGAGCTTTATCCTGGACGTAAATGTAATGGATTACTCACATAAATACATTTACATACATACGTACACACACACACACACACATACATGCATACACATACATAATACCCACATACACGCATACAAGGCAAGCTAATTATAATCAGTGAGGAAACCTTTGCCTCCCAAGCCTCC